TGAATTTTTCCTTGCTAAATCAGTCCAAATTTGAGCTTTTTAAATTTCAAACTCAGGAAGAGATTTTTGGGAAGCAAAAAGTTGCTGCTAAACACCTGGTTGAGGGGGATTACAATACTAAATATTTCCATGCTTTAACTAAGAGAAAAAGGATTAAGAATATTATCAATAATATCCAAAGGGAGGATTGATCCTATTCTTCCAACCCTGTTGAAATTGCTAATTTAGCTATGCTCCATTTTTAAAAACATTTTAATAAAGATCTCAACCCTACTCAGGTTCTTGACCACTCTTTTATTCCCAAGCTTCTACCCTTGAGGATAATGTTTGTCTTTCTAGGCCTTCCTATCTTTAGGAGGTGAAAGACTCTTTAATGTGCATGAATAGTAATTCTGTTGCTGGACCGGATGGTTTCACAACCTTATTTTTTCAAAAATACTTGCATATTATTCATCATGATATTTTTTCTGCTATTTTGGATTTTTTTACTGGTAATCCTATCTCAAAATTTTTTACTTCTACTTCTTTAGTGCTTATTCCTAAAAGTAATTTGGTCCAAACTTGGAATGATTTCCGGCCTATTAGTTTATGTACCTTCTTTAGCAAATTGGTTTCTAAAATTATTTCGAATCGTCTTTCTTCGATTCTTCCTAAAATCATTTCTCCCTATCAGATGGGTTTTGTGAAAGGTAGGGCTATCACGGAGAATATTCTTTTGGTGAATGAATTATGTCAAGATTTAGATATTCAGGTTAGAGGGGGTAATGTGATTCTGAAACTTAACATTGCCAAGGCCTATAACAATATTGATTTGACCTGCATTTACTACATCCTTAAGCTTTTTGGTTTTAACTCTGTGGCTACTAATCTTATTAAGAATTGTATTGAAAATGTGTATTTTTCCATTATTTTAAATGGCTCATCTCATGGCTTTTTCAAATCTTCTCATGGCTTAAGGCAAGGTGATCCTATCTCCCCTGCTCTGTTTATTTTTGCGGCTGAGTTTTTATCCAAGGGTCTCTCAAATTTATTTGAGAATAATCCTAGCATGTACTTTAGAACTTTTGGTGGTTTTCATATTTCCCATCTTTGTTTTGTTGATGATTTAGTTATTTTCTCTAATGCGACTATTAATAGAATCCATAAGATTGTGGAACTTTTCAATATTTTTGAAATGAGTAGTGGCCTGTCTTTTAGTAAACATAAATGTTGCTTTATTGTTTCTAAAAGGATATCTAATGATCGCATTTTATCCATTAAGAATGCTACTGGTTTTTCCCATTCTAATTTGCCCATCAAGTACCTCGGTGTTCCTCTGTTTAAGGGTAGAAGGCGGACTTTTTTGTTTGATGATTGTTGACCTCATTTTTGTATGAGGTTACTAGGACCCACCTGGATTTTATTTTGGTGACCTAATGATCGACAAGTTCTCACTTGTCGATCATATAGGTCCCAAACATATCCCATTCAACTCTTAATCAAAGTTCTAATTAACTTTCAATCATCCAATTTTTTATCTATATTTTGATTAGTTAACCTTTTAATCATCATCGCCTACAATACAATTTGTGATCGACCTCATTGCTCTTCTTTGAAATCAACATTGAACTGTATATATATATATATATATTAATTAAGATCGATTTGAGTGCACACATTACATTTGGCTATATCTAGTTCGATTTGAGCCAATTTGAGTCCTATGACGCCGTCGTCAATTGTGAAGTTGAGTTAATTTATTATTATTTTGAGTTGAGCAAAATCTAGATTAATCAAAATTTATTATTTTGAGTTGAGAGAAATCTAGATTAATCAAAATCCCTTGAATTTTCTTCAAACAAATTTAATCAAGCGCATTCGAGATGATTTGAATTAATTTTGATGAAAGTTTATCGTCAACGGCTTCGATTGAGTTAATTTAATATGTCTTGGCTTAATTTAAATCTAGTCAACGTTAATTATCTTTGAATGACTTTGAATAATTAATTTAAGACATAAATCTAGAAAAACTTTAATGTTTTTTTTATCCATCCTTTTGTTATAATTTGACGCCTAAATATCCCTCAACATCCTCTAAACTTCAGCCCTTTAATTTCTCAAAAAATCAAGCATTTAATTTTGACCTTTGGATTGGAAATGGAGGGCTAGATCTGGCTTGCTGGCTATCTCATTCCCATAAAGCAGCCACCTTAGAGAGAGGAGCTGGGGATCCACATTTTGAGGCTGCTAGGGCAGGCTGGAAGGGAACTAGGG